ACTAAAATGACGTCACATAAGGGGCGCCATTTTAGTTATAATTTGCACTGTCGTGACGTCAGTAAAATGTGCGCATGCCATGAATCACGAGAAGAGTTATGCACTTTGTAAGCTACAACACAGCATGACATATAAACTTGAAAAGCAAGAAATATAATTATTTGTTACTCTTAATTCTGCGTTATGTCTGTGGAGTTACAACGCTAGAAACCGAGTTTCGATACCCGTGGTTGGCAGGGCACAGATAGTCCTTTGTGTAGCTTTGTGCTTAATTACAAACAAGCTTCATTTTGGTAATATTTACTCTTGGAACAGAACACTTTCGGGGACTCTGCGGAAGTACATCTAGTTATATGTTAAGTTTTCTCCATGTTATAACCAAGGACAATAAATAGAGAAAATATAACTTTTTCTTCCTTAAGTATATACTCAACAATGTGAAAGTGGTACTATGTATTTTAAATTCACAATTGTTAATATTAAATCTAAACACACTTCTTTTAACGTAATGATAAAGTACAATTTATCAAAAATACAGAATTTTTTCTTCCTTAAGAACATTTAAAATGTCTTTTAAATTCACCATACTTAATAATTTATACATATAATGTACTTCTTCATGTAACAACAATCATACTAATTGTTGGTAAAGATTAGCCCAAGAGTTGGCTGTTGGTAGTGTTGCTTTCCCTATAGTCTATCGCTTTTAAATTAGGGACCGCTAACTGAGATAGCTCTCGAGTAGCTTTGCGCGAAATTCAACAAACAATAAAGTACAATATACATGATTCCTTAATTTTACTTATAACCTCAGTGATAACACGTAATAACGATAACCATTTTGCAACACTACTAACGAGCTAACAATGTACTAGTAGCCATATTATATTATTACGAACACGCTCTGTGAGATGCCAAGTAACAACCCACACTCATAACACATGCAGGTGCCCTATTGCTTATGCGCACATGCTACTTGATCAGCATGCAGCTGTATCAACTAGATAAAAAACTTGGGCTATGTAGATTCTCTAGATCGAAGTTCTAACTATGATCTAACCTTTGAAAGTGAAGTTTTCAGTTCTATACATCTGACTCGAGGGTTCTTTGTTGGACAAAGCATTTCTATCAAAGCAGTTGGTGAGGACGAACGCTACCACTGTCGAAGTCTGACACGGCTTGTCTCGAGCACTCTGTACATAAAACAAGAATGATAAATTGTATAATTTACCTTTGCATTGTTTTCAAACTAAGTGTGACCTATTGACATCTAAGGTTGTACTTCAAACAGTGCAATTTCTAAAATATGCCTTTCAAGGAAACCAAACGAGAGAAAAAGAGAAAATCTTATGTTGATAATCTTGAAAAGTATTTGTCACTACAACAAGAATAGAGATAAGGTTAGACACAGTAATGCTGAATATGCAAAACAAGTCTTAGCCATTAATCCAGCCAAAGAAAAGGTTGCAACACTGGCTAGATGTAAGAAAACTATAAGAAAGATATCAGCAAAAATCAGGAAATGTCGAGAGATACCTCTAAGAACAGCTATGAGAAGGATAGACCTAGATCCCAGTCATTCTCGAGGCTTAGCACCACAAAAAAAAACGCTACGAGAAGGATAGGCCTAGAGCACAGTCACTCTCGAGACTTAGTACCAAAAAAGCTACGAGACAAGTATAAAAAAAGTTTAAATAAAAAAATTGAAAAGTAGGTATTGGAGCACCAAAAAGTAAGGAAACAAGGTAGGAAGGGGCGGGATAACATTACAACAGTTAATGGTTTTTGATATGGTGCAACCTCAAAGCAGGTGTGACCATTGTTCCGTCCATTTCTTCTTCGTTTCTTACTTTGAACTCTGATCCAATTGAATTGAGTTTTATCAGTAGCTAATCCTTTCTAAATACTCAACAAATTTCAAAAATATTTCAAAAATCAGCAGTATGATACTATTCTTTTGGCCCATTCCTTACCAGTCAAATAGCTATAATATTTCCCATAAGCACAATATGACTATTGGAGCTTCTTGTTTGACTTCTGACATCAAACACCCCCTTTATGATGTCATGCATTTCGACACGTAATTTGATTACATATATGTATCTGCATTTGCTTGCTGAAACAAAGTTTACAACAGATAAACTTAGATATATACACCTTTCATTTAGTTTGAACAATTACCAAGTTACAAAAAACACTCGAAGTAGGAACGGGAGGCAATGGCCACACCCCCTTTGAGGTTACACCATGTCATAAACCACCAAGTGTTGTAACGTTATATTTCCCATTGCTACCTTGTTTCCTTACTTTTTGGTGCTCCCATTCATACGTCATATTTTTTTGATGCTCCCATTTCTACATCCTAATTTTTTATTTCAAATTTGTTTACACTTGTATTAATATAGCCCCAAGAGGCTCAGCGGTAAGTCTGAAGGCTTATAAAGCTAAAAACCGGGTTTCGATACCCCTGGTAGGCACAGCAAAGATAACCCATTATGTAGCTTTGCGCTTAACAACAACCAAAAATATTAATATAAAACATCACAAAACTTGAGTTTCTCATTTTTCAATTGTGCATTTAACTTTAATCACTTGCATACCTTTAGAGAGGGTGTTATACCCAGAGCACACCATCTTTTCTTTGAACAACTTTGAGACCTATGAATTCAGGCCTGACATGGCCTGGTGGTTAAGACGCTCGACTTGTAATCTGAAGATCGCAGGTTCGAACCCACATCACTGAACATGCTCGCTCTTTCAGCCGTGGGGGCGTTATAATGTTACGGTCAAATATACTATTCGTTGCTAAACGACTAGCCCAAGAGTTGGCAATGAGTGGTGATGACTAACTGCCTTCCTTCTAGTCTATCACTGCTAAATTAGTAACTGCTGGCGCAGATAGCCCTCTTGTAGCTTTGCGCGAAATTCAAGACAAACAAAACCAAACCCATGGCAATATTTCACAGAACAAGGGCCAGAATTTCATTTGACTGGATCCTGTTTTTAGCAGTAGCAAATACAAATAGCATATGATAGTGAACGTTGAACTAACACATTGACTTATGATGCTGGTTGAAGGCACACAGTAGTTTTGTAATAACAATATCTATAGATTAACAATGAGTGTGGTGAAAAATAAAGATCGACTTAGAGAACTTTAACATGGTTGTAATTACTATTGTTTCATAATGAGGTTTATTTTTCATCGCGAGTATCAAATCAATAAATACAGTGCTTCTTGAAATAAACAGATTTAAATTATTTCAAATGTAAGCTGGTGTCTAATCTATTAGATAACACAGGCCTGCTATGGTTTTATTGTTTTGAAATTTTTACGTGTTCTACAGTAATTCATTTACGCTGAATCCGAAAATGATATCCATTTTTTTCGATCACGTACAGATTTTTCACAAAAACGTCTGTTTTACATAAGTGAATCATTTTCTTTGAAATCGAGTCACATTTTGTTATGCTTAAAATGTTGACAACCACTGGCTATAGATTTCTCTAGACCAATCATAACATGAGAGTTTTATCAACCGTTCTAGAACCCAAACATAATAATAAAAAAATGTTCATTGTGGTAAACGAAATAATAATTTGATCTAAATGAGATTTTTTTTCTTCCCGATTTGTAAAAAGCCCTTACGTGATAGAAGAAATGAATATTACTTTCGAAATCTGCGTAGCTGAATTATGGAAAATCCATTATTAAAACCAAAACAACTTGTGTAATTGTAAACGTGTGAGTGCCATAAAGCCGACATGTTAGTCCTAGGTACTCTCGCGTCTTTTACCTCCTTTGAATGTTGCTTTACGGAACAAGTATTGGTAATATGTTCCTATCAAATAAAGGCTTTCTAAGTAGCATGCCATACATTCTATATTCAAGTGATTCATTTCAATCGAAAATGGTCAATGGTTATTTTACTTGATAACAGACCATTATCGGTGTAATCACGTCACACACAGATGTCATACATGACTTATGCCACGTTCTTGTATAAATATACGATTTACATTTATTATAAACATAACAGAGCTCTATACTTTCTATGTCAGTAAGAATCAGTTCCTGTTTTGGTTCGTTTTTGCACTTGAATAACAAAATCACTGGCTAATTGAACGTGAATAACAAAACCCCTAATCATTCTTGGCCAGGAAGAGCCATTAGCTGATTGGACTTGAATAACAGAACCCTATCCCCTCCTGGTCAGAAAAAATCACTGGTTAATTGGACGTGAATAACAAAACCCTATTCACTACTAGCCAGAAAGAACCACTAGTTAATTGGACTTGAATAACATTACCACATCCTCTACAAATTAAAAAATCACTAGCTGAACGCACTTGCATAACAAAACCCCGCTCTCTCCAGATCAGGAAAAATCATCAGTTGATTACACTATACAACAGAACCCACCCACTTCGGATCAGGAAGAATCACTAGCTGATTGGATTGCGCGTACATACCAGAACTCTATCCATTCGACCCTATAAAAAAATTACTTGCTGATTGCATTTCTTTAACAGAACCCTATACTTTTCTGGTTGAAAATACTGACTAGAAGACTGCACTTGAATAACATAACCCTATCTACTCCAGGATAGAAATAATCACTAGTTAATTGCACTTCTATAACAGAACCCCATCCCCTCCAGGTCAGGAAGAATCAGTAGCTGATTGCGCTTGCCTAACAGAACCCTAATCTTCCTGATATGCAATAAGAAGATTAAACTTGTTTTAAAGGAATAATTTAGCAATAGTGTACACACTAGTTATAATTATGAAAATAGCGTGGAAAACTTACGTAACTGCTGTTCATTGCTAACATATTTCGTAGTTTAAAAGAACTTGTAGCCTTAACATATGTTTAATGACTAAATACATTGACTTACATTGTTATATTTGGCAACATCTATAGTAAGTAACATAATTTTTCTGGGTTTATAGTGCTACGACTGTGGACGTCATGTGTATGAAAAACTCCGGAATCAGCACTAAACATGCAGGGAATTCCAGATCAATGGAAATAACTACATACTCTACTCAGAAAACTGGACAATGTCATCCACATGGAAATGGTCGCCTACCAACACATTTAGAAACTAATGAGGTTGCAACAAGTAGCAGTAACAGGATTCATCTAAGTACGTGTATTGTTACTAACAGTATGTACGAGACATTATATGGGTTGTAGGTTTAGGCTATAAGACATTAATCCTAATATTACCTATTGAAGTAAATATACACCTCATAGGCTTTTTAATCACACTTTTTTAAACTATTTGTGCACAAAATTGCTAGTAGGTCCACGACTTTGTTGGTTACAGACTCCCTATAATAACATATATAATAACATTAATTCCACTAATTACTGCTGGCGTTTTCTATATATTATAACTATTTTACATTTTTAGATTTCACCATTTTTTAGTTCTTTACTCTGCTAGTTGTAATATTAAATATAAATAAATTAGTCACTATGGTGTAGTATATGAACCTCATCGATGGCTAACGTATAAAAATAAGTCAGTAATGCAAGGGTAAAGTTTTCGGTTTGTTAATGATTACTGACTATAACTGTTGAAAAGATTCAAAAGAACAGCTAGCCCAAACGATACAGCTCTGAACATCACGTATATGACTAACTCCGGAAAGAGGTTCATTTTGAACTACCTTGAGTATTTTGACTTACCTCCTTCAATATTCATTATGCCACCTCATATCTTTCATCTTGAATTATTCAAATATTTCTGCTTACTTCCTTCATAATGAATTGCCTTAGAGTTTTGACTTACAACTTTTATCATGAACCACCCTAATATTTTGGCATGCATCTTTCATTTTAGTGGTTCAGTCCTTACCCTAGTGGTTAACATGCCTACAGTGTGAATCTGATTATTTAACTTGTCAGTTTTACTCATAAAAGTCATTACTAACTGATAGCTGAGAGTGCAGAATATGTTTAGCGATATTACATCTCGAACCTTAGACCCTTCGATCCGCAGTTCGACACGTTAACCTCTCCTGGCCCAAAAGTGTCTGATTAGAAAGTGTGGCGTGTCAAAGAGTATGATCACAGTTTGATGTGTTGGGATTGTGTATTAATAATAAATTAAATTTCATATTATTTACTAGTTTATTGTAGCTTATTGATATCTCAATTATTTTGTTCAGTGTGTTTTATTTTATCTACTTACGGTCAAAGAGGATTTTTATGTTCCTGAACGTGTTTCAGACACAATCCATAGATTAACTAACATCTTATGCAGGTCCAGTAGACGCAGAAGTGACCTCAACAACCACAGGATTGGACATGGAAAGTTTGTTAGAAGATCTGGATGATTACAGTAGCGAGATTAGCGCCACCACAAGTAATATGGAGAATAACGACGTTGGTGTGATAAGGAAGCAGCTCGAAAGCTTAGAGACAATGTATTCAGAGGTATAACTTTTTCACTTAAAGACTGCTTAAGTATAAATATTCATTCAACAACAGATCAACGTACAAACACTAAGAAAAATATATGTTGTGTTGCTTTAAGTGATAATAAAACTTCGTTATATTTTTAGCACATTTTCCGAATCAGTTTTTCTATATCTCTTAAATATTTTCACTGTATAATTGTGTACTATTTTTAACCTTCTCACCACAGTCAAAGTTTCGAATAATGTTTCCGGCATGTTTTCTCTTCACCTAGGTTCTCAGGCTACTAGATTTGAAACATAACAAAAAACGAGGACTAAATCCAACATGCAGAGCTACTGATGGCCTAGGATCCTCCAGACGACGTAGACACGACTGTATGTCATCACTCACTGGTCGTAGTTCTCTTAGTCGTGGAACTCAAAAATTCAAAGATAAGCGAAGTCAAGAGCAAAAACGGAAACCAAAAGAATCCAAAACAGGGTAAGGAAATAAATTTTACATATCTATAAATTAATGTGCTAAAAAGAAAGCTAAACTTCACTCTATGTAAATCATGGGTTTCACGCTTTACCCCTGATAAGGGAAGATTTGCTTTTCAAAAAAGATATGATTGCTTCACTTGTCAATTTTGCTTATAACTGATACCTTAAACAAATTATCATCTAATTTCTTAATCCTCCTTTAAGTTTTTAATCCGGTTAGTTCAATACACTTATTTTATTATTAATTATTCAGTTATATGTATTTGCCTCTTTTATCTTCGTTTGTTTGTTTTTTAATTTCGCGCACAGCTACTCGAGGGCTATTTGTTCTATAACCGTTCTTAATTTTAAAGTGATAAACTAGAGGGAAGGTAGCTACTGAACACTACCCACCGCCAACTTTTGGGCTACTCTTTCACCAAGGAATAGTGCAATTAACTGACACATTTATTACGCCCCTACGGCTAAAATGGCGAGCAGTTTCGATGAAGAAACTCGAACCTACGATCCGCAAATTGTGAGTCGAGTGCCTTAATCACCATACCATGCAAGGTCTGGGTTTATTGTTACCGCGTAATATGGTTTCGGAAATTGTTTTAAAGATTTTCCAAAATATTCTTCGCCACATTATTTATACTTTATTAATGTACAGATCTGTTCTTATTTAGTTTTAGCTCACCTTCAGTTGTCAGGCCCTTGAAATAACGCTGTTTTTTTTTCTCGTTTAAATTTCTGGGAGTATTATAAAGGGATTAATTAATAAAGTTGTCTGTATTTTAAAATTTCATGTAATTATACATGCACACACACACGCATATCCAATAAGTGTATTGACATCTTGAACTAATCATTTATATATTTTCAAATGTTTTCAGTGGGTCAAACAAGCGCTTACAAAGGTTAGAGTCCCATGTTGTGACTTTAGCTCGCAGTGTGGCGCACTTGTCGTCTGAAATACGTACTCATCATGTTTTGGGGCAAGGGCTAGAAGCATTGCGGAAGGATGTCAAGTGTCTGCAGGAACAAATACGTGCTGTCGAGTTGTCTGCAAGAAATGCTGTCAATCACAACCTTGGAGTACGTGCTGGTAGAGGGCAACACGGTCGTCACAGCCGAGAGAAGGAGAAGTTCTATCGAGACTTTCTGGAAATGACCAATCCCTCGAGAGTACAAAAACTGACCAAGTGATAACCTCATATGTTTATTAAGTTTAGTTAATTTAAAATCTTTGATCATAAAATGTTTCGGTGGGTTGTATTTCATTTAGTGATCGGTCATTAAACTATTCAAATAAGTTATTACTATTCATGCTGAAATTATTAGTTACAGAAATTAATTAGATTTTTGTGTACAAGTATTGCAACAAAATTATTAAATACAACTGTAAATTTCAAAATTCCTTGACGGCGATTTTTATCCAGAAACAGTTAGTTAAAATGAATAATAATCTTATGTCTAATCACACTAAACAAACCAGAATAAAATTATTTGTATTCCAGTGTTTACACTTATATACCAGTTAATTTATGTAACTACAACAATATGTTTAAACAGTTCTAGAATTGGAAAGATATATAAATTGTAAAACAACCTTGTAAAGAAAACTGTGCCTTAGATGAGGATCGTTGATTAGCCAATTTCTAGATTTATTTTTCTGTGAATGATCGATCTAAATACAATTAGTGTGAGATTTCAAAGTCACTTAGACTGATATCATCGATGTTCGTGTTTCTCAGCAAAAGAAAATATGGGGTAAAGATTAGTAATCAGTACATAATTCCACGATCTGTTTTATTTGATAATACGTAATTCCTAATAATCCTCTTACCCTTTCTCTAGGTTTTTCGGAGCCGAACCCCCATTACTTCGAAAGTTTTTGAAAAAGCTTGGTTACGAGGTATGAATAAAATACAGAATTATAACATACATTTCTCAAATTCACGATTCAGTTATAAAAAAAGCAACATATATGTATATAGTTCCTTAGAGCTATTGGAAACGGGACTAAAATATTACCTACTAGTCATAAATATAATTTATAATATTTCGTTATTTCACTTGAAATTATATTACTTAATTGAAATGTGACTTCTATCAAAAATTCAGCTAACGATAATTTTGGTTAATAATGTTAGCAGTTGCTACTACGAGAATTGAAAACTACGAATGTTAAAAGGAGCAAGAAATATAAAGCCTCGGACTCCAAGATCAACAATGCTTGGACATTTTGGCAGAAAACATGTGCAGTCAAGATCAGTTAAGAGATAAAAAAGGTGGCCATGGCCGCTATGATCTTTGTATAGAAAACATGAGGGGGAAATGCACCCAATCTGAAGAAAACAACGAGTACGACAAGAATTAAGCATTTTGTAAACACATTTATGTAATTGGTATCAACGGAAGGTACAAAAGTTGTCATCTTCTTCGTTAGAAAGAAATCCCATCTTCGTTTGTGTTCGTTGCATGAAACCTAGATTAGAAACGACTGACATCACGTGCTATGTCAAAATGAATCACGTTTCAAAATGATGGATGTGTTTATGTCTGGGAAAGTGCGGCGAAACGTTCAACCTTAATTGGATTGTGCTTGCATGGAAGACTGATAAGCGTTCTATAATGGTTTGGGTCATCATTTGTTGGCAAGGGATTGTTACGTGTTATATTTTCAGATGATCTGAAATTGAATTAAATGATATTTTAAAATTTAGTAGTTAAATTGTACTTTGGATTTAGTAGTTAAGTAAAAGCTGATATATAGTCAGTTTATGATATTTGCCAACAAGATCGATACACACAGTTTTCTTTTTTAACACCAATATGTTTTAATATATTACCAATAATACAATTTACAATAACAGTTATTACACACAATGATTTATATAATTTTTTTTACAAACTTACAAGCAATATAAAGTCTTCTTTCTAGTCTGGAACTTCCTTGATATCTTATCGAGGATTCACGATGAGTGAGTTGATTACAAGTTGATGTAGATACAATTCGCTTAACTGGAAGCTAGCTAGCTTTGTACTTCGTTATTCACCAGCCACACACGCCAAGTTTTCGTAAAAATACTAATGTCCACTGAAGCTAAACGATTTGTAATGTTCGAACTTTGTATAGGTTCCTGGTCAAATATCTGAAGTTTTCCGATTGGTAAGCATTATAACAATCACAGTTATAGCTTCCAAAGTTTATAGCAC